CCCCCCCCGGCCCTCCTTGACAAAAATCTAGATTTATTTCCTGAAACTACTTCCACCCAAGTTCAACAAGTTGAAGCAAAAAAAGTTTGGCATTTCAATACTAAGGGTTGACATCACCCAGAGAACCTTTGCATCTTTTGATTTTATGTCTCTCACTTCTTCGTGTTTATTGTGTTGTTGCCCTGTTAGAATATCGACGAATGGAAGAATCATTGCATCGGGCACTGGAGACTCGGGGGAATGAAAGCTCTAAAGGTTAGTTTCAGGCCAATGATTGATTGATATAATGATTGATAAATTGATTGATAAATTGATTGATAAATTGATAAATTGATAAATTGATTAATAAACTGGTTGATCGATTGATTGCAGTGTTCTTACTACTCGTTATGGATCAATAATTTCCTTCAAATTACACTGAACACCTAGCCTCTAAAATCTGTTTAAATGACGATAAAATTATGTTTAGACCAGATGCTTTGTGAAGGGGTGTGATTTCGCTGCTAAGGTTTCCCATCAAATAAATTTTAATACAAACCCTACTTGACAAACTTTTTTGCAAAGGAGTTGAAAAACGTTGAGTTGGTGCCTAAAATAGGGAAATTAGTTCAGAATAATGTTTTCCATAAAAGGGAATGTTAGCGCACTCTTAAGCAAACTTCCAAGTAAAGTTTGTAACGTCTGATTTACAATGGTACCCTTGAAACCTTAATCTGATCAAAAAAGTGGAAGATACCGTCGTTTTCCTGATGCTTTCTCCATTGCTTCTTTTTGTAGAGAAACCATAAATGAAAATAAACAGTTAAACGAAACATAAACAATAATATTAACAAAGCTCTCACGGGTACCGTTGTAAATCTGGCATTGCCATCTTTGTATTTGGGTTCACTTGAAATTATGCTTACAGTCCGTTTATAAGCTACTACTCAATTTCACATCATTTTTAAATACTTAAATACTTTATTTTGGGAAAGCTAACGTGCATCTTTAAAACCGTCCCTTTAAAGGGACAGTAAAGGAAAAATGAAAGGGGGTATAGGCTGAAAGCTAATCACTTTAGCTTTTCATCGAGACCCTTGAGACGCCTATCTGAAGTTCCTGACTCGAGAATTGAAATAAAGCTGTTTCAAAGTTGTACGAAAATGCATATATATACAATTTCGTATAGAAATAGTAGGTTTAAACAGACCATGCTCAGAAAAACAGCAACCAATCTAAAAAAGATGATATCCCAGAGAAAGCTAATTGTAATTTAGGTTTACTTTTATATTTGTTGTTTCTATTTTCAATAGATTTCATTCATAATATTATTTTTACGTCCGTATTACTAGACCAGAAATTCCACCAATGGCAGTGCAGTAAAGTGGTCACGTGATACAGGCGGAGACACGTGACCAGTATACTGTTCTGCCATTGGTGATAGTTCTGGTCACGTGATTTAAGTTTCTGATTTTCAAAATTTGACATATATGAATTTTCGTATAATTATAACACAGTTTTATATCAATTTCTCGAGACAGGAACATCAGATATAACTTTCATGGGTTGCGATCAAGAGCTAAAGTGATTAGCTTTCAGCCTATATCCCCTTTCATTTTTCCTTTACTGTCCCTTTAAGCCAATATAAAATACGTCTTGAAATGCTACGAACAAGTTTGATGTGGGTTTGCTAGGATACAAATACAGGACAACGTTTAAGCAAACTTGGAGATCATTTCATCGAGGCACACAAGTAAGTAAGAATGGAATAAAGTAAGGAATAGTTTTTTTAATCTTAAAAAAAAGTTCATCAGATTTTAAGAAAGAATTTAAACCGGTTCAAATTGAGCGCCGGCTCAAATTCCTAAAATTTGGCCTTAGGATGATAAATATACAATTCCGAATGTTACCAATTCAAAGGTTCCGAAAAAACTTTTAGATTGAATTCTGTTGAACATTAAATTAAAAAAAAGATCTTAATAAAATTCTAATAAATTGTGAAAGTTATCATTATTCTCTAAATGTTCTATAATTTTATTCAGTAAGGATAAAAAGTCGAAAGCTCTAGAATAGGATGACAAATGCATTGGTATATTCAAGTTTTAATTTGAAATAATTATTGAACATAATTAGCTAATAATTATTTTGTTTTATGAGAACTTCAAATGAACGTAAGCTTCCTATTCCACAGTTTATGGGAACCTCTGTAAATATTTTTCACGTCATTATTGTTCAGTAATGATGGAGGGGCTGTTACAAACGTTAATAAAGGGGTATATATATTTTTTAATACATCATCGGGGGGATGATTTTGAAAATACTTTTTTTTGTAATTTTTAGGGATTTATTTTCTTCATTGAGATAAATATAGATATTTAGCGGTAAATTAAATAATTTTTGTAGAAAANGTAATAATTTAAAATATACAATAACTTGATATATTCAGATTCACTCAGACTGCTTTCCGTAAATGTGATATCTGCAACCTTGAGTTTATGGAAGAAAGGAAATATAATACACACATGAAGAAGCATGATCCGAGTTTTACATGTGATCTTTGCAAGAAGAAAATCACAGGTGTAAGATCTCAATTATTCCAAGCTTGAAATGACAGATCTGTTCATTTTGGCAATTTTCTCCAAAAGTTGTAGATTTTTTCTCCCATGTTGGCAGATTTTGATCAAATTTTTTAAAAAAAATTGTAACTTTTTTTTGGAGGGAAATGTTATCCAATTATACCAATATAATCTTTCTTGATAAAAAAATAAATTGTGACTAAGGAGGAAAATGTATACTGTGTGTATTGAGGGTGTTAATTTATTGTAGGTTTTGTCTTTAATTTTTTTCATAACTTTCTTCCAATTTCATTTTAATTTTCTCTTTCAATGGGAAGGGGGTCCGATTCCTAATTTTTGTTGAAAACTGTCAACTGGTCTAACCACTAATTCTGAAATTTGAACTGAGGGAATGAGTTCAGACCGGTCTCATGGCTCAAATTTGGTTGAGAGTCCAACGTTAGGATTAAACTTTGTCAAGCTGAAAAGACTTGAATTGAAGGGGATTGTGACAGCATTCCCCGGTCAGTTCAGTGAGCTATTGGATCATTCCTGGTTCTTGATCTGATACTGATTCTGATTCTGATTCTGATTCTGATTCTGATTCTGATTCTGATTCTGATTCTGATTCTGATTCTGATTCTGATTCTGATTCTGATTCTGATTCTGATTCTGATTCTGATTCTGATTCTGATTCTGATTCTGATTCTGATTCTGATTAGGAAAGTTCTGGTACAGGAAGCATATAGAGAAATGTTATGGAGATGAGAGACCATCCTGGGCTAGGAAACCTGTAGAGGTCAACCCTGGGGAGGATAAAGAGGTCAGTTTCACTTTTCACAGGGGCTCTCGTTGTTTTTCTTAATTGACCTCCATGCCTTTCACTCAAAGTGGGTTTGCCCCGCTTTACTAGGTAACCCTAAATTTAAACCTTAAATATTTGTAATCTTATTAATTCTTAATTACTAAAAATCGTACCGTTGTGAATCAAACATGTCTCTTATTGGAAGGTTACTTGAAATTTCGTCTACAGGGTTTGTTTAACTATTTGAAATAGACATTATGTTGCAGTTTGTTGACTTGTATTCACAAAACAACCTATCCTACCGGTCAATAATCTGTCAAATAAGTGGACAGATAGACTTAGTACCTAATACATAAATGTTTGTGTTACTTTAATTTCACATTTTAATTTTACTTTCAATGGGCTTTTTCTAGGTCAAATAACTTTTAATTTTGCAATTTTTTCATCAGACTATAATAAATAAATATTTTCATGTGTTAATCTGTTCAAATAAGTGGATTTTTTTAAAATCATATAAACCAGATCAGTTCATCCGTTTATTTGATAGAATTAGACCAGCCAGCTTTACAGAAAGACTAGCTTGTGAAGCCAGCGCTGCCCAGGTTACTGAAAGTTACTCCCGAAGTTTACCCGCACGATTTTACTGGGAAACTAAATTGTCGCCATTAAAGTCGACCCACTCAACTTAGAATTTCAAAACCTAGCTACGAACATTCCCGTGGTTCTCCCAAGTTCCCCTATCAAAATTTGAGACAAATTGGTTCAGGGTTTTCCGAGTTATGATCGGACACTTTGATAAGGGGGTTATCGTTGAGGTGGGAAAAGAAATGATAAAATCATCTTTTTCCTGGCATCACTTTGTTCGTTCTTAGAGTGTTTCCTCCTCAATTTTTTAGTTTTTCTTCCTCTAGGTGATAGAAATCTACGGGAAGGAATACGATGTACACTGGGGAACAGTTACCAACACGTTTACAAAGGTATTTGCCTCGTATTCTTATTTTTATCTTAAATACACAGGGTTACCCAGACAGGATGAGTTGTTATTGACTACCTAATCCCTTTTTGATATTCTAGAAGTCCCGAATAGTAGCTAGAGTCTGGATTGAGGGGAAAGCCTGGGCAGGAAAAGCAGACTCCAGAGACGAGGCAAGAACGAAACTCATCAAATCATTGAAGGTAGAAAAAAGGGATAAAAATATATCAGATGGTAATAAAATAAATCAGATGAGGATAAAATAAATCAGATGATTAGATTAGAACTAGAACTAATAATGTTAAAAGTAATTCAAAATATTCTAGAAATAAACTTTGGACTCTTTTCCCCCCCAACATTTCAAATGGAAAGCTATAATTAGATATGCAATTTTTATTTGCTAATTTTTTAGGATCACATTAAGAAAACGATGGACAAGGGTCTGTACACACTAGAAGACGGAGAACTTGTTCCAGAACCGGTTCTGTCAGAAACCCCTGCTCCTGCCACAAAACCCGCCAAATCAAAATGTCCGCAGTGCGGGACACAGTTCTCGAAACGCGCCAACTTGGAGTTGCACATGTTCATGCACAGAGGGGACGCCAAAGCAATATAAATGTCATTTTCATCTTCTTTAAGCATTTTGGAACATTTAACTTCATTACGGAGCCATCAGTTGTCTTTCATATTTTAAAATCTATTTGAATCTAAAAAGAAATAATATCCTTAGACCGCTAGCTGTTTTGGGTTAATACAGCCGCATTTATCCAATAGTTTTCACGAAAATTATTTATGTATGGAAGTCACAATATGAAGAGAAAGAAAATTGTCACTATTTGTTGAATTGTCTTATTTTTTCTAATTTCCCGAATTTTCAGAGATTACTAGTTAATCCAAGATGGCGATGAACAAAGCACGTGCTAATGTTCGACTTCCGCCAGAAGTCAACAGAGTTCTCTATGTCAGGTATTGTTACACTTTATTGTTTGGTTGGTCGCTTGATATGGTTGCTAGTAGATAGAAGGTTTTCTGAATCTGATGGATTGGATAGTCGATAGTGAACTTTTATTGGGTTACATATTGATTGATTGATTGATGGTTATTTCTGAAATGTCAACGACAATAAAAGACAATTTTGTTGTATTTTTCCATACTGATGCGTTTTCATGGGGGGGGGGGGGGGGCTATTGGGGGTTAGCCTCCCTGGACCAGCAATCTATGGATTTCAGGGTGTTTATCAGGTCCCAACGACTGCTGACCCCCCTGGAAAGAAAAAAATATCTAAGCCAAACCCCCCCCCCCCCATGCCCCTTGGACAAATTCCTGACTACGTTGCTGATCGCAAGGCACTGAAAGAATAAGAACAATAATCCTAATATTAATAAAATATCTAGGAATTTACCGTACAAGATCACAGCTGAGGAGATGTACGACATATTTGGTAAATACGGAGCTATCAGACAAATTAGGTAAATCAAATATTACAAATATATTTTTTTTTGTCTCAGATAGTTTCAATAATGTAGTTAAAACATTGTTACATCTAGTTTCTAGGTTATTTTAGAATTAAAACTCTGATTCTGCATTTTTGTATTTTTGGGCAAATAGATTATCAAGTACAATAGGTGGCAACAGAGAAATGAACCAATTATACACAACGTCACAAGTGTCAAATATAACAAGGAAAACGAAATTTTTAAAGAAATTTACACCACTAAAAATATGTTTTTCCAGGGTTGGAAACACGACGGAGACGCGAGGAACTGCGTTTGTTATTTACGAAGATATTTTTGACGCAAAGAATGCGTGTGATCATCTGTCTGGGTTCAACGTTTGTAACAGGTAATAATGGTTTTTAAAGTGACTATAAGCGTAATTTCAAGTGATCCTCCATGCAAAGAATGTAATGCAAGGAAAGTTATTTACAGTTGCGTATACTCTGCGTACATATTGAAACCAGTTCTCTCTGGGCTGAATTTGTAAACAAGAATAGATGCCTCAGTGTTCGTTTAGTATTCTAGGAGGTTAAAAGCATTGAATTTTGATAATTTTGATAATTCATATAATAGTTTCCTTTGACCAGAATATTTCATTAATTATTTATGTGAAAGAAGGATCCCATGTCAGGCTTCGACATCTGTCTTGTGTTTACTTTACCGCCCGGCGCCCAGTGGCAGTACACTTCAGTGCAAAAGATGCGTACATCTCTGAAATAACTTTCATTGCATTAAATCCTTGCTTCAAAGATGAAAATATCCGATTTACAACCATAATCTGATGAAATATAGAGAAACAGCAAATGCAAATTAACAGTTTAAAGAAACTGAAACTTGGATATAATTCATAGCTCAAAATTCCGTTAAAGGTACCGTTGTAAATCGTTATCATTATCTTTGCATGGAGGGTCACTTAAAATTAAGCGTAAAGGGACAGACCGGCAATGTAAGGTAGTTAAACTGAGAATGCAGTGTTGTGGACACATTCTTTAGGATTCATTTGAGACTTATAAAACTTTTTTTAAAGATCTTTAAATCCTTAGTTTAAGCGCAAAGTCGACGTTCAAAATCGTACTATCGGGTGGATACGTTTTCATAATAGTTTTTTTATTATTATTAAATAACGACAACAAGAAATGTATACAAAATTCTGCAGTAAGCTAATTAGTTGTTCAGGAACAGGTTGAGAAAATAAAAATTAACTCTTATCATCGAAAATATGTAATCTTATTCAATTATTATTTTCTATAATCTCTCTTTAATCACAAAGATTTTCGGCAGATTTTCTGTAATTTTTATTAAAAAGACGAAATTTGAAGAATTTGAAGAAATCTGCGAACAAATTCATAGAAAATAAGAAATTCAATATAATGATGAAAAAGGAAATAATTAATTCTAACTTCAATTTATTGACCAATTTCTTTTGAGAAACATGTTCTTAAACATCTAATTATTTTTTCTATAGAAATTTTACGATATTTTTCGTCGTCGTTATTAATTTAAAAAAAGCGATTCTGAAAACGTACCCACCCAAATTCATGATTTTGAACGTCGACTTTGTGCTCAAACGTAGTAATTATACATCATGGAAACGTCTAATGTCTCAAATGAATCCTACAGTATTTGTCCACAACACTACATACTCACTTTAACTACCTTACATAGCCGGTCTGTCCCTTTAAAATCCCATTAATATTAAGTTTTGTTCATCAGGTGCGTGACCAGAAATTATTCTTAATTGTTCCAACACCAGTTCTTCTTCTTATTATTTGTAATCTATCTATCTATCCACCTATCAATCAATCAATCATAGCATTAAATCTCAAAGATAAAATATTTATAGATATGCAGGCAGGTAGAAACCTCCTTCCTTAATTGCTTGTAGCAGACAACTAATTTTTGAACCTCCGAGAAAAGGTGCAAGGAGAGACATCTATAGCAAATTGATTACTTTCTATTTTCCTTTCTCCCCTTGCTGCCATCTGTAGGAAATACGCATTTGTGTTATATAAACATACAGTACGCGTATTGCATCCTGTATTGACGGGGTTACTCTGTTGTGTGTGTATTGTTCGGCCATCGGGAAAGAATTGTCTGGGGAAAATAAACACCCCCCTTCTGAATCTTGACCGGCCTATTATCCGGATTTGTCTAGCGTGTTGCTGTTATCTGTCAACAAATATGCAGTATACATTGTTGATACTATAGTACGCATTTAGTGTTATCACGCATAAACAAAGTGATAAATTAGCAACAATCCAGAGGATAAAATGCCATGCGTACGACAGAGATGGTGCTGTTTGCACCTTTTCTCAAGACCTCAAAATTTATACCTGCCTGCATATCTATATATATATTATCTTTGGCCATCCCAGATTTTCACATAAAATATAATACCATGCAGAAAGTTATTTAACGTTGAAAAACAAGGACTTAAATCTAAAAAAAGAAAAAGAAAATCCCCATAATTTGACCTTTTATGATTTGATAACTTCTTACTTATCTATGCTTAAGTTGGTATTGTGTCTATATTTCCCCGATATTTCACACAATTCATCCATTGGTTTATTATTCTCTAGATATCTAGTAGTGCTGTACTACCAGGCTAATAAAGCTTTTGAGAAGTTGAATACGGCCAAGAAGGAAGACGATCTCCAGAAAATGAAGGAAAAATACGACCTCAAAACCCCTGGCAGGGTTTAGGGACCGAAAAACTCAGACCAAAACGTTACAAAATTGTGTAAACAACTTAAATTTGTTTCCTTCGATAATTGCGCATTTTTGCTCAAATACAGAAAACAATTTTTTTCAATACAAACAAACAATTAAATAAGATAAATCATCAAAAAAGTCTGCGCATTAAATATTATTGCATTTCTGTTTATTATAAAGTTGTGTTTTTGTACGATTGAATGATTGTATCTCTTAATTTCAGATCAATAATAAAATAAAAATAAAAATGGATCACACCAGTTTATCCAAGCTTCAGGGATATACTCGTTTATTCAGTTAGTAATATCATGCATACTGTCATAGACATAGATAGAAATAGATAGACGTAGATGTGGTAGACATTAGACAATAGTAAAAGTACATATTCTTTTTGAAACCTTTACTATGAGGCGTTTTTTCTCTTAAAGGGACTGTAAGCGTAATTTTAAGCGACCCTCCATGCAAAGATGGCAATGCCCGATTTTCAACGGATTTGCCTGATCAAAATTTGTCTGATCAAGTGTTAATAAATTTAGAAACTAATTATTTTAAAATTGTGGTATCTATACAAACGTGACTTGAATTACCTTTTCCGATTGGGCATGCTATTTTCCAGTTTGCACTTGAAATTACCTCTTTAGTCCATTTAAGAACTCTTTTTAAAGAGAATGATAATATTTGAAGAATACAATTTAGTTCATATCTTTACAATTGGGTTGATTTTTAATTGTTTTCTGTATTTTTTTTCGTTTTGTTTAATGTTCAGTTTCTGTATTGTGAATGAAAAGGAGCGGGTAATGGATACCATTTTGGTATTCACGGATAGTTTCCTTAAAGAAAAGTTAAGATTATAAAATTGTGGATTAAAGTTTAAAGATTGCCTTCTCAAATAAAGAAAATCAAAAGCAATTTAAAATAGGTGGACATATCATTTTTCATGCTTTTTGTCCTGTTCTTAAAGGATCTATAGACGAGAGCAGTTTTAAAAATATTGTAACTTTATTTATTTATTTATATATGTATAAATTACAAATTCTATGACGAAAAATACCGAAAAAAGAAATGAATTCAGGAAATAAAGTAGGTTTTTCACTTTAATTTTTATCAAGAAAATTTCCAAAATCATCTCCACCCAATTTTCCCTCTTCCTGTTTAATTTAATTTGGGAAAGGAAGTATTATTACTACTAAAATATTGACATTAAAAACTTGCATGCAGAAAATTTTCCAGAGTTTTTAAAAATTTTATGAGAACGAATTTGTTAATAAATTTGTATTATTAAGCTATGCAGCATTCGATCTAGAAATAGTCTTCACTTCATCCGAGTCGATGTTTGAATGAAAAAAGTTTTCAGAAGTGTAATATTAAATGGTGCGACACATTTTAAAAGCCGCCTAAATATTAAAATGATTTTTTAGTGGCCTTACTTGAAAGATTTGTTAGAGATTGGTATAACTTCAGCTTCATTGGAGTTGAATACGAGTTTGAAATGCTATACATCAAACCATAAAATGATAATTGAGCTTGAGGGTCGGGGGTCAAAGATTTGGTTTTAGGACTTAATTCTTAAAGAAAGCTGAAGTGCTGCAGCTGTCATTCGTCATTCGTAATACATTGACAGTTATTACAGTCTACTAGTTATGCTACAGGGTGTCCCAATAAACATGGGAATTAAGTGACGACTTTTAAATCTTGTTTGATCTATGCAGCATTTTTCATGAACACACTTTCCAGTTTAAACATACAATATCTAAAACGCCTGGTCTTGAGGTTTTCAAAATGTGGTCTACTATATTTGTATCTTAAAAATTAACGGGGAAATTATAAAATTTGTTAAATTTCAATTTATTTAATAAGTTCAAATTGACGTAATATCTAAGATTTTGTTATTTTTTAAAACACAGACAATTTTCTCTCAACTCCCATGTTTATGTATCTGTGTTGAAAAATTTTGATAAATGAAGTATATATCTGTAGGAAGGGGTGAATATGAAATTAGAGGAGAACAGGGAGAGAGGAAGAAAAATGTTGGATCATCTAAATGCATACAAAAAATTAGGTGACGAGAAATCTTTCAGAAAATAAGTTTTTTTTCAGTGATGCAAATAAAAAATCTTTTGCTCTCTAACCTTAAATCTGAACTTATGAAAAAAGAGAGATTATCAAATATTTCTTATCTATATAAGGTTTATCAAGTTTTAGCAAAAAATAACCGAAAAAAGAAGAAAAATAAATTAAAAATGTTTTTATGTAAAAAAATTGGTAACTCTTAATGAAATGTTCATGACCTGGATACGGATCCATTTTCCTACAGTGAGGATCCAAGATCCGCAGCACAAAATCAAATGGATCCTAAGCACTGTTTTTGTTAAGATTTTATATTAGATTTGTTAAAAATGTATTCAATGCAATCATGTCCATGTTCAGGAACTGTTTCAATCATTTAATTACAAGTTACTTAATTAGGATAAACTACTGAGATGATAAAGGATTTGAGTCTTAGCCAAAAACTCAGATCTTTAAATCCCTTTTTTTTGCAACCAAATGTCAAAGACCTTTTCAAAGATTGAATTTCGTTAAATCAAAAAAAAAGTTGGAATTTTGAAATATCAAAGGTCTACATTATCAGGTTGCGAAGATATAGAGATTAAAAATTTGAGATTGTAGCTGCCCAAGACTCAATGCCTTTGCACCTTTATTAGTTTCATTAAAAAAGCGAATAAGTACGTCATCATTTGAAAAAAAAATCAATCAATCAATCATATGTTTAGATAGTCGACTGTCGACCCTTCCTGACAAACTATCTCATGATGTAATGGTTCCTTTCACAACAAAGATATAGCTTTCAGTTTCTATTCATTCAGAAAGGTGGAATTACTACATTTAAAAATGTTGACCAATGTTATGGGCCAATATTGTCGTTTTTAAGTTTGGTTGAAACCTGGATAAAAAATACATACTTGATCCTACAAAGCTTTTAAGGGTACCGATATAAATCAAGCAAAGCTTTCTTGCATGGAGGGTCACTTGAAGTTAAGCTGAAAGCCTTTTGGAATAACGTTTACAGTCCCTTAAAGGAGAAGGAAAAATAGTTGAATTAGGCACTGATAGTTTAACAACTTCTCTTGATTGACTTGTAGTTCCCTTGGAGAAGTTCGAATACTAATACACAGTTCAACTACTTTTCGCTATTAAATGTGCTGGGTTTTTTATCACATCTGAAATTGTATAAGATAAAAAAAGTCAAATCATGTTTTTTTTTGTCACTAGAATAATTACTTTTTATCCAGGCTATGATGCCTGGTAAACTTGTGAATTCGAATAAAATAATGGTTCTGCTTGGAGAAAACTATTTTATAGGTAAAAAAGTACTTTTTTTTTGTAAAGTTAATGTTAATAGAATGTTGTACAGTTCCTAACTTCATTTCATTTCGGAATCCGGATCTGGGTGTTTTTCTACCTAAATTCTATTTTGTTTTCGTTTACTTTTATTATGAAGTTTGATGGACCAATGAGAGATCAAAAAAGTTTCTCGGATTTCGCATTAGTCCAAACTTGAAATTTTTATTTTGAGAAGAGTTTTTGTTGTTGGATATAAATAAAAATAAAGTTGACTGTTTTTTTTATTTTAAAGAAACTAATGATTGAATTGTAGTTGGCAGCCTTTAGAAATAAGGTGAACAGTCCCTTTAATTATCTAGAAACGAGTGCTAAGAATAAGGTTAACAGTCCCTTTATCTAGAAACGAGTGCTAAGAATAAGGTTAACAGTCCCTTTAATTATCTAGAAATGATTGCTAAGAATAAGGTTAACAGTCCCTTTAATTATCTAGAAACGAGTGCTAAGAATAAGGTTAACAGTCCTTTTAATTATCTAGAAACAACTGCTTAGAATAAGGTTAACAGTCCTTTTAATTATCTAGAAACGAGTGCTAAGAATAAGTTTAACAGTCACTTTATTTATTTAGAAACGAGTGTTAAGAATAAGGTTAATAGTCCCTTTAATTATCTAGAAACGAGTGCTAAAAATAAGTTTAACAGCCCCTTTAATTATCCAGAAACGAGTGCTAAGAATAAGTTTAACAGTCACTTTAATTATCTAGAAACGAGTGCTAAGAATAAGTTTAACAGTCCCTTTAATTATCTAGAAACGAGTGCTAAGAATAAGTTTAACAGTCCCTTTAATTATCTAGAAACGAGTGCTAAGAATAAGTTTAACAGTCCCTTTAATTATTTAGAAACGAGTGCTAAGAATAAGTTTAACAATCCCTTTAATTATCTAGAAACGAGTGCTAAGAATAAGTTTAACAGTCCCTTTAATTATCTAGAAACGAGTGCTAAGAATAAGTTTAACAGTCCCTTTAATTATCTAGAAACAAGTGCTAAAAATAAGTTTAACAGTCCCTTTAATTATCTAGAAACGACTGCTAAGAATAAGTTTAACTGTCACTTTATTTATTTAGAAACAAGTGCTAAAAATGCCCGGGAGATATGTACTAGAAGAATACAGGCCTGTGATAAGGTAAAAGTGTCTTTGATGGGATTTATTTGCAGAACACTCCAGCGCTGCTCTTCTTTCTAAATTCTCTTCTTAAATAAATTTAGTTTTGAATCTTTTTATTTAATTACTTCCCTACTAAAATAAACAAATATTTTCTTAATTTAAAATTTACCCTGGTGGAAATGAGTGTACAGTACCAGTACAACGTGTACAACCAAATATGTCTTTTTTTTGGAAAGTCAGTTTGAACTTTTGTAAAATCACCATGAGTTAAGAAGTTTATTTTAGTTACTACATGAACTCGCTCAAGAAATGGAACTGGTGGAAGGATGGAAAAACCAGGAAAATATCATCAACAAAGTTTAAGAAATGTGCGGTTTTTGTAAGCTATTGCCATCAAGTTTTCTTATTTTGATTACGGAAAGTTGAATGTTGAATACTATATCATTCTATCAGATCTTTTTTTACAACTAAATGCATTATGAATCGCAACATTTTTTTGTCAAATTAAATTCTTCTAATAATTCTTTAAAAGGCGGGAATATTGATGGTGTACCGTATGTAGACTAGTCAGCTGCAGGAGGAAGGGGAGAAGTGTACAGATATCAGGGAGGAGTATACAGAAGAACAGGTACAGTACATTAGTACAATAGTACATGCTAATTTTAATTTTTCATTTTATTTCTTTTTTGATTTTTTTAAAAGTTATTTTTAAAAATATTTTTTTTCATAAATCTAGTTTAACTGCAGAAAATCTTGAAAAGTTTAGAAAATATGACTAGATTTATTGCCCCGAAACATACCTTAATGGTAACGGCCAACCAAAGCCCTTGAGCCCATTGAAATGGCCACGCATGTGCCTACTTAGTACTTAGCTTGCATTATCCAAGTTTATCCAAGTCTGATCCCTTTTAGGTCTCTTTAATAAACTCACTACAGTAAACATTTTTCCAAATTGTAAAAAAATTGACATTTCTAGTTGAAAGAGTGGAGAGAGAAACACTTGGAAAGCGTGCGACGGGAAAAGTTGATGAAAAAGGAAGAGGAAAAGAAAGAGGAAAAGAAAGTAGAGGATGAGGAAATCTGGAAAAGATTAGGGAAGCCAAGAAGAAAAAAAAAATGTTATTCTTAATGTTGGACTTGTTTTTACCCATTACACACAAAAATTATCAGAATTCTACCATGCGACTTTAAGAAGAACATCTGATTTATAGATTCTAAAAAGAAGCTCAAATTTAAGTTACTTTCTGAACCGCTTTCACATTTTTTACTATAATCATCTTGATTTTTTAACTTTTAATTTTTTAATTTTTTGGCTGATTAAAGAGGAGCTAGAGGTCAGAGAAGCGTTGGAAAAAGAATGGGAGGAGGAGGAGGATGATGATGATGATTTTGATGAAGATGATGATGAGGATGATGAGACTGATGATGAAGAAGATGATGATGATGATGATGATGATGATGATGATGAGGCTTATAACAGTGGAGCTGAGGCTGCCAAGGATGATCTTGAGCTGCAGCGAAGAGCTGAAATAACAAGAAGAGTTTCATTTGGAAACCTACATCCACCCAAGGAAACTAAACAGATAATATTTCAGCATTCACAAACCCAATCCGAGCCCTGTGATAACCATGAGCAAGGATATCCATCCCATCCTGGAGATATCTTATCCTTAGTTCCTCTAGAACCCAGATCCATTCTTAAACTTCCAGAGAACTTTGATCCTGCTGCATTTGTGAGACCTGAACCTGATCCTGTACCTGCCAGAGAACCTGAAGCTCCGTTTATCAACCCCATCAGCACCTTAGTGGTAGAGAAGAAAGCTGTTGCTCCTGAACCAGCTCCATCAGAACCAGAGAAGCGTGTCAGCAAGTTCAAGACAATGCGGATGAATAAATGATTGTTTTTTTCAAATCAAGAATATATCACAAAAGAAAGTTATATTTCCAGATTTAAGATGGCGGGACGGGTATTGTCGAATCTGCGACACGTGGGTAGATCAGCTGCTGTCAACAAGAACTTCTCCTTCACTATCAAGATTCAGGTAGAAATTGGCAGGTTTTTAAAAAATAATTTCTTAATTAATCTATTGGAATTAATATCTTTAGTAATATCTTGGTTTACTCATTCCTTTATAAAAGTTGTCTTTTGGTAAGCAACAATTTTCATTGAATCCCGTCAAATTTTAGATTTATTTATGCAGGTCCATGCTAAAACCAGCTCTTTACAAAGAAATGTCATTTAATCTCAGAAAAATTGGAATCAGAAAAACATTTCGGTATTAAATTATCAACCCTTGAGCTACACCCTTTGGGTTATCAATCATTTAATCCCTTAGGGGTTTAAATTTCCATAGGTTCTAAATTTTGAGTTTCTGAGAGTAAGTCACTCAAGGATTATGCAAATTTTATAATATTAAGGAATTTTAACCTGTGAGTAATAAAGGACCTTACTAGTCCCCAGGAGTTTGTAATACCTCTTGTAATAATAGAGATAAATGGTGCTAACTTTGCACCTATATTCTTTTAATTCCTAAGGGGCAGAAAAAAATTTCAAATTTTTTTTCTTGATCAGGGGCGTAGAAAGAGGGGGTGTTTGGCCCAAAACAGGTATTTATATATTTATAAATATTTTATTGCCGATGTATCATTTTTGTTTTCAAAATTTTAGTTCTGACAGATTATGAGACCATGACAAATAAGCCTAACAAGGACAGATTCAGCTTGCAGGAGGAGCCCTGTATGGTTCAGGGGCTAAAAAGCCTACAGTCAGGGGGGTCGTTTGATCCACATCAGACTCCTAAAAATTAAAGAGGAATCAGTGCAATAATGCAAAATTAAATAAAGAAAGGCAAGTAAAATTCTAAAAATAATTTTATAGTTATTTGAATTGATAAATCATAAATACTTCTTCAGGGGCGTCAAGAGTAAAAATATCACCGAACCTCTTGGATTTCATTTGTCAAAAACTAAGAAAATAATAATTTTAGATTATTTTAAATCATACAATCCTTTAGGAAGGGTCTTCCATAGCTTAAAGATCCAAAATGAACCATTTTTATCAAAAGGGGCGCCTAGAAATCCAATATCACTGAACACCCCACTCTTGGTTTTATAATTGTCAAAAACTAAGAAAATAATAATTTTAGATTATTTTAAACCATACTATCCTTTAGGAAGTGACTTCAATAGTTTAAAGATCCAAAATGAACCATTTTTATTGAAAGGGGTGCCTAGAAATCCAATATAACTTAAAAAAAACCTCTAGGCGCCCCTTTTGATAAAAATGGTTCATTTTGGATCTTTAAGCTATGGAAGACACTTCCTAAAGGATTGTATGGTTTGAAATATTTTAAAATTATTATTTTCTTACTTTTTGACTAATGAAATCCAGGAAGGGGGTGCTTAGTGATATTTTTTCTCTTGACGCCCCTGAAGAAGTATTTATGATTTATCATTTCAAATAACTATAAAATTATTTTTAGAATTTTACATGCCTTTCTTTATTTGATTTTTTATTATTGACACTGATTCCTCTTCATTTTCAGGAGTCTGATGTGGATCAAACGACCCCCCTGGCTGTAGGCTTTTTAGCCCCTGAACCATACAGGGCTCCTCCTGCAAGCTGAATCTGTCCTTGTTAGGCTTTTTTGTCATGGTCTAGTATTCTGTCAGACCTAAAATCTTGAAAACAATAATGATACATCGGCAATAAAATATTTATATATATAAATACCTGTTTTGGGCCAAACACCCCCTCTTTCTACGCCCCTGATCAAGAAAAAAAAAATTTGAATTTTTTTTTTGCCCCTTATGGATTAAAAGAATATAGGTGCAAAGTTAGCACCATTTATCTCTATTATTACAAAAGTTATTACAAACTCCAGGAGACTAGTGTGGTCCTTTAAAAAGAGATGAAATAGCTATCATGCTTACATCCCTGTTCCCTCAAGCTTTGATGCATCATTTAAAATACTGACCTTACACAATGAATTGTGCTGAGGATACAATTTTATGCATTTTATTCTTGCAAAACTAATAAATATTTGTTATTTTAGAGGGCGCTCTCATCATCAGTCGGTAAGTTAATTTCATTTTTCTCTTAATGTTCGAAAAGATAATGTTTTTAATTTTGTAGTCATACAGTTCAATGAATTTTGATTTTAGAATCTAAGGAGACCTTGGCTCAGTTCCCTGGAGCTAAAGCAGAATATACAGAGAAACTTCATTTCCTTCAGGTTAGATTCATTCCTTGATTTAGGGACAGATTGCTTGATTGCTTAGTGGCTGATATAATGCTTTAAGTGCTGTGCCTACTATATTACTTTCATCAATCAATCAAGTTAAAATCTGGAAGGGAACCCAAAGTGGAACCCCCAGACTGCCTTCAGGGCACCACACACCATCATGCAGATAACGGCCTGGAGTCCAAATTTTGTTTGTCAAACTAGTTCCAAAATTGGCCTTATATGTCACATTAAAATAAAAACCAACCTTATGTCTCACTCCTACAATTCTTCTTGTTCAACGTTTAGATAAGTCTCTTCTATTCTTTGAAATGTAATGTTGAATATTTAGCCTGATGTATACAATGGTATTCCTATCTACCATGTCATGGATAAAAATATAAACATTAATATTTTAGCCTGATGTATATAATGGTATTCCTATCTACCATGTCATGGATAGAAATATAAACATTAATATTTTAGCCTGATGTATACAATGGTATTCCTATCTACCGTGTCATGGATAGAAATATAAACTTAAATATTTTAGCCTGATGTAAACAATGGTATTCCTATTTACCATGTCATGGATAGAAATATAAACTTAAATATTTTAGCCTGATGTTTACAATGGTATTCCTATCTACCGTGTCATGGATAGAAATATAAACATCAATATTTTAGCCTGATGTATGTATTCCTATCTACCATGTCATGGATAGAAATATAAACATTAATATTTTAGCCTGATGTATACAATGGTATTCCTATCTACCATGTCATGGATAGAAATATAAACTTAAATATTTTAGCCTGATGTATACAATGGTATTCCCATCTACCGTGTAATGGATAGAAATGGAGTTGTCTTTGATGAATCTCAGGACCCTAGGTAAAATTAGATGCATTTGAGCAATTGGAAATTGTTGAGAAGCCATGTGTAGGGGTAGCATTATTAAATTCTCCATGTTCAAAAGAAAAAGCTAAAACTTTTAAATTTAAATCAGTCCTCTTTCCCATTCTACTATTTCATTTGTTTTATAAAACCTTCCATACTAAAATATTTTGTCTTTTTTCACAGACTTGAGGCTCTAAGAAAGAAAACTTTTTGGAACTCATTAAGTTGATTGTAAATTCATTTCTACTTTTATTTTGACCAAATTCAGACTAGAGCCAGAGGAGATGATAAAATGGTACAAATCAATGACGCTTCTCAACACCATGGATAAAATACTTTATGAATCTCAAAGACAGGTGATTTTATGTTATTAAGGGGTATAAGTAATGTGAATCAACCTAATTATACTTACCAAACTTGGTTACATGATTTAGGGCTATTTATTATTCTGCATAACATATTATAGAGAGCAAGCAACCGATGTTGGGGCACTATATATACTTTAATTTAACCAACTACAATTGGGAGGAGGCAACACATTAGATTTGCGTAGCAGATTTATATTAATTTAATTATTTTAACATGTGTTCTACATTAAACCAGCAATTGGGAGGATTCAACTCATATTGGATCTGATTTGCTGATATGAATTATTTAAGGCCCTTTCTAATCAATTTCCTTGGTATGAGTATTAACTTGGAGTTGTTAGCCCTAGATCTGCTAATCTTGTAAGTTAAATTAGTTAAGGTTCTATCTATATGGCGGTTTGAGGGATCCACATTGGGGTCTCTTATAGTTTCCATTTCCTTATAAACCTAATGGAAGGCAGCAACCTAAAATGCCCAATGGAAGAACCTGGTTGGGTTAAATCTTTTAACTATTCTTCATGAGACCAGCATATTGGATTTACTAAGCTTATATCAATTTAGGTTTGGTTTTATATCCGTATTCCTCTTATACTTAGCTTATATTAATTTAGGGTCGTATATCCTTCTATATGACCAACTATGGAGAAGAAGCAACCCATATTGGATCTGCAGCCGCACTTAAACCCAAGGATCTTGTTTATGGACAATACAGAGAAGCAGGTCGGAATTTAAAATTAAAAAATGTTTCCAAAAACCTTCATCCTTAAATTTTGTAGTCTGAGGTACATAATTCAAAAGGCGTGATTACTCAGAGCCCTTAAAAAGGCGCCATGACAAACTCCTGAAAGACAAACTCCTGAAAGACAAACTCCTGACGAGACAAACTCCTGAAAATAAAAAATTCTGAAATACAAACTCCATAATATCAAATTTAAAAAAATGTTTCATAATTTATATTTAATCTAGCCGCAGCGCTCGGCCCAGAAAGTGTCATAACTTAACCTAACCCATGGCCGCAGCGCTC